GCTCCACTGAATGTCAGACAGCCCGGTCAGTGGAGGATAGCCAGAACTGAAATCAAACGCAGCAAAGCAGTGGATTTATGAATGAAACTGCAAGCACTGCACACACACGCACGCACACACAGATTTATAATAGACAAGATTTGACAGGCAGCCAAAAATAAATAGAGATCATAGTGCACGCTGGTTGACGGCACTCTCTCTTTCTCTCTCTCTCTCTCTTTCTCTCTCTCTCTCTCTCTCTCTCTCTCTCTCACACACACACACACACACACACACACACACACACACACACACACACCTCCGCAGTCCCTCTGTCACCCCGCCCGTCTCTGGCTTTGGCGGAGTCCGTATGTGAGTCATCGGTGGACTTTTAACTGTCTCCGTCCCTCTGTGCTGCAGCAGAGACACAATGACAGCAGCCATTCAACACTTTCTGTTGGTAAACACACTATAAGCGTACTATATAATCAGCGCAGGCACACGGTAACTCATACATTCTGATTTCATTTAGTCCCTGTCATTTAGGATTTTAACGGTGAATGGACTCTCAAAAGGTGAGTTAGTGTAAACAGCTTGGTCTTCCTCCTCCACCACATCTGAACAACAACAATAAGGTTTCTCAGAGGAAACTGAATTTCAAACACCGCCTGAGTCGCGCTCTGTGATACCCCGGGCAGCCCTATAAATACGGGGCTTTATGCATCTCTATTATAAGCTGTGATGATGGCTGCACGAACTAATTTCAGTCCGTATTTAGAGACAGAAGCACTTTTGTTTGGCTGCCTCAAATGAAATACCCGCGTGCGCGTGCTGGGCGTTTTTAATGTAAGTGAACTCGTGCGCGTGGGTGTGTTGCGTATCTCCTGGCTCTCTGACGCACGAGTCAGGTGGTTCCTCTAATAGCGCGAGGAGCTTTCCGCGGTCCTGAAATCCAGACTCGCACCGCGAGGCAGAGAGATGCTCAGCTCACTCCCGACCCTCGGCAGAAACTGAACTCCAGAGGTGAGCTATCTGTTGTTTGTGCTCATGCCGTCTAACGCACGCGCTTTTCTCTTTTCTCGCCGCGAACAGAGAGCGGGCTTTTCAGTCGTTTAAAAAGAGCTTCGTTTTTTTGCCAACCTGATGCGCCGCTACAGATGTTGAGGAGCAGAGGTTGTGTTGGTCGCAGAGTGTCTTTGTTCTCGCGCCGCTCCAGGTTATTTTCGGAGCCTCTGTGGCTTTTAAGAGTAACTTTTAGTGCTGCAAATGTAAACATTAGTCTAACCATAATATTTGCTGAAGTTCGAGGAAGTTAAATGTAGCTCTGAAGAACCGATGGAGACGTAAATATGGTGCTTGTGATGCCGTAGCACTTCTGGTCTTTTCTCGTGTTCTTATTATTCTCTGTTATTCTCTATGTCCTTATTATTTCTCTCACTGAGACACAATTCTTGTCTTAGTGAGAGAAATGAAATGAAAGAAATAAAATTATTCTGTAAGTATGATTTAATGAACGCTGACATTTATGTGCGGACTTAAAAGTTCGAAAAATAAAAAGGTCAGAAAATGCAAAAAAATTGTTGTTCAGAGGTTTTCGGGCTAAAGGAGAGATTCCATGGGAACATCAGCCCTACCGGGTTACCTTGACAACAAGGGCCGTGACTCACGGAGAGCAGCAATTCGATGTCTAATGAGATTTTAGACGGGAGCTGGAAGGCGCTGCTGTTCCCGCTGCTGTTCCGCTGCTGGCGAACAGGCGGCACATTCCAGTGTGATCTCCAAATATCAGCGAGGGAAAACAAACAGTGTCTGACCTGCACGGTGATTTACACTCAGAGTCACGGCTACTACGTGTTTTTACTTTGTAAAAAATATATTAACATACACTTGAAATGTGTCAGGTTAATAAAATAAAATAAACAATTCAATCTTCTGTCTGTCTTCAGGATTTTTTGTTAATTTAAAAAATGGTATGGAGTATGAAGTGCAGTATTTGTTTCCCAAATTCAGTAGAATACAGTCTGAAATAGGAGTGAATGAGGCCGAAATCTTTAAATCTGTAAGTACTTCTGTAAATGTAGCCTACTAAGGGTGGGGGTAGATGACATTTAGGAGGGCAATCATATTTAGTGGGAGCCCCACCACCGCTCCCACGCCCTCCCTGATTCTAACTACAGCAGAGCAGAGCGGATGTAAAAGGCTAACAGTAATTTAATAGTTTCTTCCCTGACATTTCACATTTATTCCAAGGTGTTTGACCTGGTTTCCATCAGAGCACCAGTCATCCCTGTCACAGACAAACAAATGGACTCAGTGTCGCCAAAGATGTCACTGTGGTTTGCGCTGTTATCATCAAAGCAGACATTTAAATTGACAATGACAGCAGAAGGCATTTTAGAAATGCCAGAGCGGTAACCACTGAGAACCTGTTAGGTATAACCGTGTAAAGGTCAGAGCTGACATGTGCTTCTTTTGTCTTTCATCTACAGGCGTCACCATGTCGTCACTCCCTGAGACCTCTGCCACAGGCAAACCTTTCCTTGTCTGTTTTGCCAACCTCCTCTTGCTCCTTCTCTTCCTCAGTTCCTCCAGCATTCATGGGGCTTCACTGAGGGCGCATAGACTTCGTGGAAGTGAATCAGAGAGTAGGAATGTCCACCAGGTTCCTAACGCAGATATGCTGAAAGCCTTGGAGTTCATTGAGAGCCTCCGTCAAAGAACCAATGTGGAGCCTCCTCTCACTCCAGCTGCCGATGCTGGCCACATGGATGATGCTGAGAAGCTGCGTGCCATGGTGAGGCTTGCTTCCAACCCTACACAGAGCAAAGATGAGGAAGAGGAGGACGAGGAAGGAAGGGAGGATAAGAGTGAAGAGCTGCTGCAGGCTGTGCTTAGCACGCTCCAGCAGACGGAGGCCTCCAAGCCTGCTCTGCTTCGTCCCAGCGCAGAGAGGACAGACATGAAGCACAGGGTGTACGTGCAGCAGAAACAACAGAGCATCACGCCTCACAAGAAGCTGCCCTTAATGTTTGAGGATGAGGAGGAAGGTGAGGGGGATGAGGAAGAGGACGAGGAGGGGCTGGAGCATGACAGCCCATACAAACGTACCAATGAGAATGTGGAGGAGAAGTACACACCTCAGAACCTAGCCACGTTGCAGTCTGTTTTTGATGAACTTGACAAGCTGACCAGCCCAAAGACCACACATAAGCGCTTAGATGAGGAGGACAACATGGAGAAGGATGATGTAGATGAAGATCTGTTTAATGCGAGGAATGCAGCGTATGACGATATAGGAGGGGATCTGACAGACTGGGGTCCACTAGAAGGACGGGAAGAGGAAGACGAGCAGGAGGAGAGGCAGAACAAATATGAGGCTTACAGAGGGCTCGATTACATCGACAACAATGACGAAGGGGCTGATGCGGATGAAGATGAGGAGGAGGATGGTGAAGGGTACCCCGTTAAAAGGTCAAAAGATCTGGATGATGCAGGAAATCTGGTGGACTACTACCTCCTGAAGGTGCTGGAGAAAACGGAAGAGGAAGAGCAGAAAAGAGAGCTAGAGGAGGAAGAGGAAAGAGAGAGGGCGGTGAGGATGGTGGCTCAGAGTCAGTACAGAGATAACATAGATGCACGGGTCATCTACAAACTCATTCAGATCTCCCAAAAATACCAGATCCCACCCGAAGACCTGTTGGACATGCTGAAAACAGGAGACTTGACGAATCAGGACAAGTCGCAAAAGAGCAATGGTTTAGCCAGAGGAGAAACTACGCTCTCTAAGATATCCTCAAAGAAGATAAACACCATTCCTCAGGAAAAATTCTACAACAGACGGCTGCCTTATCCGCAAAAGACCCCAGAGGAGCTAAGAACGGAAGAGATCCTTAAAATCCTGGGGCTGGGAGCTGCGGAGAATCCCATCAGGAAGCAGAAGCACCACAGAGGCTCACTGTCACGACTTCACAGTCAGCCTACGGTAGTGTTTGGGGAATCCACTCCCACGCAAAGGCGCCTTCCCAGCACTTTCAAAGATGACTACGATGACACCGTGGATGAGGATGAACTGGCAGCATATCTAGCTGCTCAGATGCTGGCACAGTATCCCAAACCTGCGTACAGGAACAACAAGGCGAGTCAAAAGCGGGAGGAAGCTGGCCAGAGCGCAACAGGCTCTTTTGAAAAGGCCATGGAGGAATATTTTGATCAAATGGATTCAGATAATAGCCCAAAGGAAAAGAAACTGTCTGAGGGTGACGAGAGGGGCAGTAACGCTCAAATGCAAGGCTTAGAGAATGAGGCGATGATGAAACTGCTGAGCTATCTGAACCCAGAAACTGAGGAAAGCGATGCCAAAACTGCCCCGGGAATATAAATCAGGCTGTAGATATATATACATAATTCTCTATTGTTTTGGTGGAAGGAAGAAAAATAAAGTATTTTGAAGAATAAAACATGCAGTCAACTTTAGTTATTCTGTAGGTTTACAACCGTTCCTGTTTATTAGCAGAAATGTAAGTGTTCAGACATTCTCTTGATGTTTTTATTTTTGTTTTTTTCCAGATGACTTGGTTGCTCAAACAACACTTAATGAGTACACGTGTCTCACCAGCCTTACATTTCAACGCACACACAATCAAAACCAGTGTTGGATCCTTTAGATTCACTTGTGTTTTTTTTGGTAATTCTTTCTTAAATGTGGTCATATGTGACATAGCTGAGGTAAATAAAGCATTGACTTTATTTTTTTCCTTACTGTCTAGTGTTTCTCCATTTGCTCACCACCACACAAAGCATCGGTCTTAATAAAGTCACAAAACAACTAATACTAAGTGAAAAAGGTGATATTGGCTCATTTCAGTCACTTACCTGTCACGAAACCCTGAGATTAATAAATATGAGCCTTCAAAGGCACTTACAGATGCAAACATCATTACTATTCTTCACACCTGAGTCAAAATATCACCAGGTTTGTGGTTGTTGTATGACCACAGCACTACCCTGAAAGAGTCTTTACTGCCAAGCGATAAACATCTCGCTTCATGCTTTCAAATGTGAACCATCCGCCGTCCTCTCTTGGCTCAGTAGGCAGGTTTGCTCATGTATTCTTCCATCGTCTGTGGTGACATAAGAGTCACAAGAATGAATTTTCAAAGAGTCAGGGCAAAGCTTGCACTAGCTAAATGTTTGACAAAAGCTTAATATACCTCTTGGAGTGTGTCGGCCTCCTCCATAGACACACCCACGGCCAGTTTGGAGGTTTCTAAGATCTCTCCTCCCATGAGGAATTCATCCAGGATGAAGTAAGCCTTCTCGAAGTTGAAAATAATGTCCAGCTCACACACCTGAAAAAGAATGACACAGCATGCATCAGATCAGAGAAAAGAATACATCTCGTAACACTTCACTGAATAGTTGTTTTACCATAAACTATCAAACGATAATAATGTTAATGAATCATTTGCAATCAGCTTAAATCATTAGGGTGTGTACAAAAAATAACTCTGTGAATTACATACTGTTGTACACAATAACTATTATGGAATATGGAATGTACATTTTAAATATTACAAAAACAATTTGATAAAAAACTTAAAATTTCATAGGTGGGTGATCATTTTTCTCTCATCTGTATGCACTCCTGAAAAAATGTGTTATGAACATCAGCTGTGACTGTAACCATTTAGATAATGTTGATACATGTTTTACAAATCAACTCTTTACCGATCAATAAACATCTATGTCTCTCAAACTACAAACTCAAGTTTAATTAACTATCAGTTTATTTTTTAAATGATACTTATTTAGTTATTTAAGTGTTATTAAGTGGATGAAACCACCAATTAAATTTCATTAAATTTTAGAAAGAAATTGCAAATATATGAAAGAAAGAAAGAATTACAAGGAAAAATAAATACATATATGCAGACTTTTATATATTGTTGTCAAGCCAGTTTGTTTCCCAAACAAATTAACCTCCCAGTGTTTTGCATTGAGAACGCAAACCACTCGTTCTCATTGGCTGGTTTTTGTAAATAAGAAGGTTCAGCTGATTTCTAAGTCTAGTCAAATCAGGAGTGCTTCAAAGTGTTTTGAAGCAGCGACAGATTACAGACACTAGAGGGAGTCTGACAAGCTTGAGCAAGGGAGTTTTTACTGTCCTCACCATGAAAAACCCCCCCACATTGCACTGTTTCACCTAAAAAGGCACCCACAGTTACTCTGTGTATTTGATTTTTAGACTAAGCTCCTTTAACCTAATCAAGGGGTCTGAACTGAAGTTGATAGAGCTACATAAAGTGCACTCAACTTCCATTCAACATATCTGTATCTATGTGCAGAAGTTGAACACAGGCTGTGAGCCAGGGCCTGCCACCTGACATCACCCAATGTATAAAAAAGCTGAACCAATTTAGCCTGAGTGAGAAAAAGTGCCAGTAGTCAGGGTGTCCAACAATCACATACTTGAGTCCATACACGGTTGCTGTATCTTTTCAATATTTGAGAATAATTTTGAGAGGCTTGCATAACTCCCAGTATAACACTGGTGACTTAGGTCAACCTGTGCAGAGCTGTTATTAGCCAAAATAATTGAGAACATCTTAGCAGAGGTGCAGGGACAACTGAGAAAGATGGATGATGTTTAAAAAGAGCCCCTTAACAACCTCTGGATTGTTGTAGGCCATGGCATCCAACTCTACTTACGTTTCCAAAGTATTTGTCCAGCAACTCAACATATCTGTGCAGCACCTCGAGGGCAAGCAGCTCATTATCCTTGTCCTCCAGACCAGCACAGAAGTACAGGCTGGCATACCTGCAGTGGAGGAAGAGAAAAGCTTATTGTGATCATTTTACAATGTTGTCATAAAACAAGGATGCAATACAATATGGTGAAATATAAAAATACATATATATATATGTTAAGTCTAATTGTTGAATGTGTCATTGTGTTTCTTAAATTTGTAAGGTCTTAGTTCGGGGGTGTAGCTGGGCTTGTGGAAACACAGACCCAACAATATATATATGTATATGTATCTAATAGATCTCCAATTTGTACATGTAAATGGAGAGTCCTCTTCACACACTGAGGTTAATTATGGAGTTCCACAGGGTTCAGTGCTAGGACCAATTCTGTTTACATTATACATGTT